TATATATATAAATATAAATATTAAAATAAAATGTATGTGTGTTACGCGTATATGCATACGTATAGAGACAAAATACACGTATATGTACATGGAACCAATTACACGTGTTCCCTTCTATAAAAAAAAAAAAAACGCACAAATACGAATTTTTCGTTGAACAACGAAAAGTCTTAAACGAAGTTTCGAGTGTTAAGGATAAAAACTAAACACACACAACAACAATAAAAAGAAAACATATAATATAAAAAAGGAAATAATCTCTCTCGTTCTTCAGTGATTTTTCGCATCACACTGGTTGCAAAGAAGAGAGGAGAAAAGGGGGTGTGTTAGTTTAGGATTAAAGGTAAAGGGTAGGAGGAAAGGGTTGCTTTCTTAATCGATATCGATTTTTCTATGCCGGGCGGATAATAAATTAGACTTCCTTTGTACATTTATACAGGTGGCACGGTTATATATGAGAGTGTCCTTGATATGAAGGAAACGTCCTCGGCCTCAAACTCCAGTGATACTGTGCAGCCATGGTTTGAAATAAGTGGTCCTCATATAAACGCCAGGTAAATACGGTGCGGCACACTTTATTCCATGGGATACGGTCCCAACTAACATCCATCTGCCATCAGGTCGTTCCATTACCAATGGACCACCGCTGTCACCCTACAAATGATCGATCGATCATATTAAATCCATCACTTGATTACATTTACCTTCATTACATCTATTTTCAAATATGCTTGCTCATCGTTCTTCCTTGTATCGTGCATGCAGCAACAAGCATGTTTCTCATAAATTGCAACCTCATATAAGTAGCAGTACAAGCAACACTACCACCACCACCACCACCAATACCACCTGACATTTGCTACTTCATTAATCTATACTTCATACTAAATACACTGACATATCCAATTACTTCTAGACGTTAATATATAAGCAAACTTAGTTTACATTCAAGGAATAATATACACGATCAAATCAAATATTCTATCTAAGTTATTATTTAATAGTAGTACCTCGCATGAATCCTTCTGACCATTGGCGTAGCCAGCGCACAAGAAACTTTCCAATATTAATTTCGAATGTCCTGCCGTTTGAAACATTTCTTGGCATACGGAATTTTCCATGATCGGCACTTGGACCTCTTGCAATACCGACGGTACACCACCGTCTATATCAAGGATTATGTTTATTAACGAAATGCATTTCATTTTTTTTTCTTTTCTTTGTTTTTTTTTTAAACGATTCAACAGGGAAAAAATAAACTAACGAAAGGATTAGACAAATATACTTACTGTATTTCAATCTACCCCAACCAGTGACCGTAGCCATTCTCCCAGTAAAATCAACGTTTTCGTCTGGCATGCAAATTGGTACAATGTGGGCGTCGAATTGCACCGGTGATTCCAATTCGAGAAGTGCCAAATCATTTTCGAAAGTTGCCGGATCGTAACCCCTGTTAACGATAACGCGACGAACGTTTTTTGTTAAGCTACGTTTTGTTTCCAATTCTCCCGATATGTCAAATTCACCGAAAACCGCAACGAGGGATGCTAAAAATCTGCATAGAAAAATTCGAGTAAATATATAAAATACAATTTTTCGAATATTCGTTCTTTTTTTTTGGTTTTTTTTTTTTTTAAAAGTAAAACATCATTTTTAATTTACCCTGGCTGACAATGTGCCGCAGTTATGACGTATTTGTCCGTAATAAGAACACCACCGCATTTATTTTTAGTAAACAATCCCAACCACGTTGCTTCCCTTACCAATACCTGCCACGGCCATTCACCAAATTGTGCACCCTTTCCACCAACTATTCTACCAGACTTGATTAAAGGTCTCACCCCGCATTCTGTCGATGAAAGATTGCTACATATTAATTATTGACACGCGTTCACAACTTTTATATCAATTATATTGAATTCATTTAAGGACAGACAATATTTAGAGATAATCAAATTAATACTAGGATTATATTACAAATCAATTTGTTATTATTTGATACCTATTCAAATACGCGACGAAAGATTTGAAATTTTTCTACACATTTAACCAACATAATTAATATTCTCGGATCAGATAAAAAATACAAGATTAAAAAAACAAAACAGGTGGTAAAAATATCGAAATAAATTAATAACGATAAAACGATATAATTAACGCGAGTTTAACACGAATATAAACATGGAACTCGTTAATATATTATTAAAACAAATTATGCACGCGTAAGTAACGCGTAATTTCCTATGGAATAGGGGTGTGT